CCTGGAACCGGCGACACGCCCACACGGCGTCCCAAAAAACGCCCACCGATCGCTTCGATGACGCTGCCATGCCCAGAAGTGCGGCTGCGCAGGGCGCACCTTGGTGCGGGTACGGACGGGGGTGGAATGGCGGGGGGAGGAGGGAGGGCTTCTAGAAGGAGGCACAGTTTCTTAGAAGGCGCCGGCCGTGATAAGGAGAAGCGCATGCTCGAGAGTGGAACGTGATACAACACCAAGCATTGGGACGACAGGCAGAAACAAAGGCATGTGAATGTCTGTGTGCTAAGAGACAGCGAGTAGACATGCGTGCATATACGTATTGGCGGCTATGCAAATCCGCCGACCCTGTCGGCGTGTGCGAAGGGCTTCTCCGTTCGAGTTCTCGTCTCCGTCGTCTCCTCGTCGTCTTCGCCGCCTCCTCGCCGCAACTGTCGTCCCCCGTCCCTTTCCCTGGGCCCTCCTCAAGCGTGCCATCCAAAGCGAAATTGAAACACGTCGTATTGGAGTCGACAGGAATCCCCTCCCCTTTGACCCCTTCCCCGCGGGGGGGGGGTCCCGGGGGGGGGTCGCCACCCAGCTTCGTTGTCCCTCTGGCGGCCCCGACACATCGAACCGCCCCAGAACGAACCCAGAAGGCCGAAGATGGCTCCCAAGACTGCCCACAAGAGCCCCGCGTCGCTCAAAGATCGGCCCAGCAAGGCCAAGATGGCCCCAAGACGATCCAAGAAGCCTCCTAGACGTCCCAGGGGCTCTTCAAGAGGCTCCTCCCCTCCTCCTCCTCTCCTCCTCCTCCTCATCATCATCATCATCATCAGCTGTACCCCTCCTCTTCCTCCTCCTGCTCCTGCTACTTCTCATCCTCCTCCTCCGCCTTCCTCTCCTCCTCTCCCTCCTCCTCATTATCCTTCTTCTCCTTTTCCTCCTCATTTTTTCTGTCCTCCTCTCTTCTTCCTGATTATCCTCCTCTCCCTCCTCCTGAGCTCCCTCTTCTTCCTATTCCTCGTCCTTCTCTTCATCCTCCTTCTTTTCCTCCTCCTCCTTTTCCTCTTTTTCCTATGATTTCTCCTCCTCCTACCCCTTCTCCTCTTTTCCTCCTCATCCTCATCCCTCTCTCAAGCAGGATAAGCCGCAGCGAAAGGAGACATCAGACGAGAAGAAATCGACCGACGCAGCCCTTCCTCCTCCTCCTCCTCCTCCTGCACTCCTCCTCCTCCTGCCCCTGCCTCCCCCCCCCTCCCTTCCATCTTCGTCGTCTTCAGGGTCGGCAGTACCGGCCGCAAGGCCTTCGCAATAGGCACACGAGGCCAACCTGGTGAAGGGCCGACCCTTTGGCAGGTGTGAGTAGCGTGCGAATATCCAAGTGGGTGAGCCAACGCCAGAAGAAACCCCTGACTGGGGCCGTCAATGGACCTTCCTAGGGCGCACGATCCGTGTGAGGGAGGTGCCTGAATGAGCGGGCGCCATGCGAACCCGTCCACTGGGGGCCGACTGTGGAGCTCTCCATATCGCACGATCCATGTGATTCGTTTGCCCGAATGGTCGAGGCAAAGCCATACAAACCCTCTCGCTGGGGCCAACTGTAGACCTTTCCATGACGCACGTGGGATGTGCAGAAATGGAGGAGGCAACGCCATGTAAACCTCCCCACTGGGACCGCAATTGGAATTCACTCCCTGTGGGGCGCGACCCGCGTGATTTGTGTGTGTGTGTGTGTGTGTGCCGAACTGGTAGGTGAGACTCCATAAAACGCTCGAGCTGTGAGGAGTGTGCTAGAATGCGCGGACGCCATGCGAATCTACCGACTGGGGCAGTAGGTGGAACTCTCTGGGGGGCACGATCCGCGTGAGATGTACGCTGAAACTAAGAGCAGCACGCAACAGGTAGCGCAACAGCAACAACGGCAAGAAGGTGAGGGGGGGCGGGAAAACGGACGCGCGGCGCAGGGAGCAAACGAGGACTCAGCACACACAGGAGGTTTGGGGCACCGATGTGAGGACGTGTGGGGACGAACGAATTTGCTGCAGCGCTGGAACCTGAAGCTCCTGCTCGTCCATCTGGGAAGCATCCTGACCGATCGGAGATGACTCACGTGCGCCGCCCATCAAAAGGAGAACGTTGAACAACACGGTAATGAACACATGTTAACAATCATAGCGAGGGAAACGGAGGGAAGGACGATATGGTTTACATGCCAGAGAACAAGAACATGGTAATGAAACCAACACAAAGACGTCGTGTAGAACAATTCGGTGCACACTACCTGCAAAGTTACTGGCTCGTGTCAAACATCCAAACAGCACAATGGTCAAACACGTGGCAGTGCATTGAACACTTAGGTTGCCAATCGTACCCACAACTGACATGGTGTCGGGGCGACTGCGAACTTCTACGCTACAACACCAGTAAACCACCAATTTAACGTCTTGGCTGCAACGGCATGGTCGCTCTGCACAACCTCTGCGTCCTGTCGCCGCTGCCCGCAGTTGCCATACAAACGCTGAACAACAAGGGGCACACACGGGCAGACAGAGCGAGCACACACCCCACTCTGCAACAGAGCAGAGCTTCTCTTCCTCGTAGAATGCGGCGACGAAATCTATACGTATGCACTGGTCCCTGGCCAAGCCCATCCTGAACAGCAGCGGTGTATACGCCACGCTCTCCTGGCTTGGGCAGGACGGCGTATGCACAGCTCCTGGATTCAGGATGCCAGGGAGCAGTGGAAATGTATACATTCCGTCACCCGAATAGAAGGAATGACGACAATGTAGTGATGGGAATGTGAACGTCGGCTATGCTAGAGTAAGCCATGCATGTACAGAAGCAATGGCCCTGCGCATGCACAGCAGGCCGCAGCTTAGCACAATCGCACACGCGACCACAATCTTGTGGGGATGCAGATCGCCGTCATGCGTAATGATTGGCCTGCTCAAGTGGCCAAAGGCGTGCTAGAATCTACGGTGCGAGGCTCTCATACATTCTATGTTCTGTAATTTGCGCGCGCGTGGCGGCCCCTGGGGCTACCCGTGGGGATAATACCCTCAGGGCGTTTTTGGGTGGGGTGGGGGGGGGGAGGGTGGTCAGCGTGTTAGCCAAAGTTCCTCGGCGTCCCCCCCTTCCCTTCAAGACATCGCCGCACCAGAACGTCGTCACCCGTGCCTCGCTCTTTCCGTCACTTCGGAAGGTCTACAACGCCTCGAGGGGCAAATGAAGATTGCATACAACATGCACGCTAGGAATGGCCTCGCACATTCCGCAGGGCATCGGCGCTTGTCAAACTCTTGGGACACGCGAAGATACGATGCGCCCGTGCTCCTAGGACTCCTGGACTCTCCTGGGAGGCTCAACTCGGCTCACCCCTCGTGCACTTCCTGCTCCAGGACCTCCGAATGAATCGTAATACGGCACACCCCTCCCCCACCTCGTGCCCCCTGAACCTCCAGAGGCGACCGGTTTGCCCGTGAGATTGGCCAAGGGCGCCTCAACTCGGCACCCCACTCATGCACCACGTGCCCCATGGATCCCCCGACACCCGCAGCTGCCCACAAGACAGCTCGACGGGCTGACATTCGTGACCCCCCTCGTGCCCTTTGCGCCCCCTGGAAGCCCACAAGGCCCTCAACGTGCACTCAAGACGGCTCAAAGGAGCCTCAATGCGGTGCATGTCTCGCGCACTCCGTGCCGCGCCGCGTGCCCCCCCCCCCCCAGAGGCTCCCAACTGACTCATCGAAACCCGCGCACGGAGAGCCTCACCAATTCAGCACATTCCTCAAGCCGCCGTGCCACACGGACATCCGAAAACCTTCAAGGGGCTTCCGCGATCTCCTGACACCTTCCTGCTGCATCCTCGAGGGACCTTGTCTGTCCCGTCGCGGCACTATCCGCGTCGAATCCGTGTCGACTCTGCACCGAACTCGTCGGATCCGTGTCGAATCCGTGTTGAATCCGCGTCGCATCCGCGCCAAATCCGCGTCGAGTCCGCATCGAGCCCGCGTCGGGTACAGGAAAAGGCACCCACTTTGGGGACACGCGATGCCCCCCGAAGATGCAACGTAAACACCCCACGGGAATCCAAGATGGCCAACCATCGGCGGCGAGAGCAGGGGGGAAGTGAGAAGGAGAAGGCCTTCTCAGAAGGCGGCGGGACTTTTCAGAAGCCCTCGCAACTTCTGCGAGGCTTTCTGCGTCTTCGGGGAAGGCTTAGAAAACTTCTCAGAAGGCCCTGGGACTTCTGAGCCTTCTGAGACTGCCTTCTCCTCCTCACTTCCCCCCCTCGCTCGCCGCCGAAACAAAACAAGCGTTCAATTGTCGGTCCCGGCTCTCCTCGTCGGCACCATTTCTGATTGCGCTCACTGGCTGCAGCCTTCGAGTGCAGATTTCCCCCGGGGGCCCGCCGCGGCTGACACACCTGGGGATTCAATGATGAGTGGCAATGTGCGTCCACATGCACGTGTGACCATCTGCACAAGTAATGCTCTGACTGCCCGTGAACCTGCGCATCAAATTGACTGACGTGAAGTGCCGCTTCCGTGCTTGTTCCCACGACAAGAAACCACACAACAGAGCTTCAACAAACGGGGGACGCTGTTGGTGTCCATGCGTGGCTACACGCCCGGATTCCGAAACTAGTGGCTGCTGCCAGAAACTGTTGCCACCTCCCCTGGTGCACACGTTTGAACAGAAGCTGGCTGACCTTGTCGACGCCCTGGTGAAGGCCCAGGAAGGCGGTGATGAACATGGTGAGATCGGCGACGGAAACCTACAAGGAGAGGTCAGATAACATAACTATGTCGTTTTCCTCCTTGCTTCCCCAGTGCACCGGTACATCTCTACATAGATGTGGTGAGCATTATCCGCATCGTCGTCTTCCCCTTCCCCCGTGTTCTCCTCCTCCTCCTCTGGTATTCATCGGCCGTCGTATCAACATCGAGCGACACGGGGGGGGAGCCTGCCACCGAACCTGTGATCAATGCGACTGTTCGGAACCGTGCGTCCCATGGGGGAAATTCCACCTGCTCGAGACGGGCGCCCAACACAGCCAACAGAAAACCCATGGGCCCATGGGGGGGCGAAGACCCGCGCCGATCGGCAAAACAACGAATGAGAAAACGACCGCCATTTGTCGGAAGCATTGGGCAACGCGGCTACAACATGACCGCCTGGGTGTGCGAGTGCGCCGCGGGGTTCTCCAATTTGCTCGCGAAGCAGCGCCTCTGCCTTGCACTCCCTTGACTTCGCTCGCCTGTCTGCCTGCTCCGCACGCCGCCCCCTTCCCACGAAATCGCAAGCACGTTGCCATCGACAACTTCAAAAGAGGCGATCATCGCGATCCCTGTTCATGTCATGCACCCGAAGTCCTCCTGGGACCTGACAGGGCCCGCCGCACTGCTACGAAGCACCGAATGCGAGTTATAAGCGAATTATGGTCGACGAGGAAGGTGTGAGAGGCATCCTCCAAACATGAAACTTGCTTTCCAATGCAATAGCGGATCGGCACCTGCGCTAGCGATCCGGACATTGAAACGCTGGCCGCTTGAACATAAACGTCAAACGGAAGCGCGGACGTGCGCCACGCTCGCGCCACATACTACCCAGCCCTCCTCCGAAATGCATAGTCGAGGGGGGAGGAACCGAGCGGCGCCGAGCGTCAAGCTACATGTTGTGCAGTGTGCACGTAGCCTAAGCAGAATATTTCAACCCCCGACTGCTTTGAGGTATGGGGCTCACGCGTGACATAGGTAGCGGTCGCGGCAAGCCGTGCCCGACTTGGCCAAGCGCCAAGGCCGAGTCTGCAAAGTCAATGCGTACCAGACTGGAAGTGGCGTGCACCCGAAAAAGCAAAAATTCACAGCGGGCCCACGCAGCAAAAGACAGGCATAGAGCACAAAGACAGTCACAGGCTGCAAAAGAAGGCTCATTGACTGTAGCATGGCCCCGCGCAAAGAATGGGTAGCCAGCTGGCCCATTGAGAGCCAGGCTCAGCCTTCGATGTCTGAGCCCTGTAGCACGCGTGCGTGCTGACCTCGTGCTTGGAGGATTGCGTGTCCGCCGTTATTTGTAACAGAAGGCCACTGCCTCTGGTATGTCCATCAGCAGTCATATCCCGCGTGTCACACCAATGTTTGCAGTGTCTAATGCCCCTACCCATCATCTCTCTTATCCAGCTGTAGACCGCCAAATTCCATAATTTTTCTTGAGTTGTGATGGTGCTAATGGTCCCGCGTTGAGTTCGTGTAGTGAGACAGTGGTCGGGTAGCAGTCCTCTAGATTGTGGGCTGCTGCTAGCGCTTCCGCAGAATAGCTTGACCTCACCTGCATTCGATGCGACTTGCAATAGGCGTCTATACAATGCACGACAGGCTTGCCATCGCGCGTTTCCACGCCGGAGCAGGTTGGCATCCCTGATGCAATCTGCCTCCTGCGGAGGGCACTCACAGCAGGCGTGGTCGTCCCTTCTTTGACCCTGAAGTACAGCCAAAAGCATGTGCGCAACACTTCTGGCAAGAGAAATCCACCATCCTCGACAGAACAGGCGAGGGCTTGATCACCTCAAAGCACTCTGCCACCTCACATCGTGGTTTGCCTGCGCGCCAGACTCCTCCGCGCGACTCCCGAGACCCGGCGTCGCCGTTCCTGATCAAACACCCGCCTCGACTCGTCGGGCAGGCATGCTCAACAAGTGCTTCGCCGCAGGTGCTTGTGATGAATATGTCGCAGGTTGGATGGCAGTTCGCAGGTTCTGGACCCAGCCAGGTTCGAGCGGTGGAAACACAGCAGGCATCAGCCTGAAGCTTTAGAGAGTCCCGCCGACACCGATGCTTCATCCCTCGACGAGGCAATTCCCCGCTTTGAAGGCTGTTTCCGACGATTTCTATTTTGAAGGTGTGTGCCACTTGGACGCCCAGAATGGGGACGGACAACAATTGGTACAGCGCCCAACAACAAAGTTTGCCCCAAATCAACAGCGGCCGCTGTTGGGCGGGCGGCCTTTTGTCTTAAATGGACACGGCCCGTGGCGACGCCGACAACGAGTCCTGTTCAAAATGAGCAGGCGCTGCGAACACTCGGGTCGGGGAGTCTATCAACGACCCACCTGATGCGGTCTGCCCCTCCTCCCACCCAAGCGAAGACAGGGCCGACAGAGGACAGGGCTCGAGCTAAGCAATGTTGTCAATGTTCCTGTTGTTTTCGTTTCCCCTTGTTTCTGTCTTCGTTCGGCCTTTGCCGCAAAACGACATCAAAACGAAAAACGCTCCACGAAGTCTACAACATCCCTCTTAGCTCGCACCCTGAAAGAGGAGAGCACAGGCCCTGTCGTCTCCGTCGGCATCGCTGATGCAGTAGAGGAGCTCCAATAACTCCTCCCGCGCGAAGACCCCCCGGTTCGAAACATGATTGGCGGTTTGATCGGTTCGATCCCTGTTTGACCGTGCTGATTTGCGTGGGTCTTGGATGACGGGGCTGACGAGAACTTCTAGACGGCGCCGTCGAAATGCCCGTATAGTCCAATAGCTTGCGTATGTGTTGGCCCAACGCTTGGCCACATAGGCGCTTGCAGAAAAGGCATATGAAGGCGGTGACTCGCCGTGGGCGTCTTTGATCCGCCGCCCGCGTCGCTGTTCGAGTGCGAAGTGTTGAGGCTCTTCCTGGCGCTTCAAAGAAGGATCCCGATAGGGCCCCGGCCAGACCCGAGCGACTTCCCGTGGATAGAAATTGCGGCCCGATGACCGGATTAGGAAACAACATGGACAATTTCAATTTAATATGGTCCCGCGTTCGGTCATGCCGTTGCCAGCGACGCCACAGCTGCCTCTGCCGCTGGCAGTCACAGACATATTCCTCAACGGCTCCCGACACGTCCTGTACAGTGGAGACCCATGTCAAGAAACACCCTGCTTGCCTCCAGGGTGCCCTGGGTTTCTTGGGTTTTGATGGTTTTGCGATGGAAAGTGCGACATTCCGACACCAAAACCCGATGGACGTCCTGGGGCCTCGGGCCTCAGGGTTGGGTTTCTTGTGAAAGGTTTCTTGTGGACTGGCCTCCACTGTACCCAAGCATCGATCTCAACCGAGTGGTTCAAATCCATGTCTATCGCTGCCGCCGCTCAACAATGTGACTACTTCTGGAACGAGGAGGTTCTTCGCCGTGGCCTGGAGGCCGGCGTCGCCTCTACGCTATGTCGAAAGCACGCGCTGGAGAAGATTCGACTAAAGTGACGCACCGACGGCCCTTCGAAACAGAAGACGAAACCGCACAGGAGCACAAACGCCACGTAGTCGACCTTCACAGCCCAAAACCACCACAAGGCAACTTCGCGAAGTGCCGACATAATACCTTGGAGCGTTTGAGGTACCAGGTACATTGAACCTGACAACTGCAGCCGAATAGCCCCATGAAAGGTGCACACACGGGCCAACTCTTTACCTCATCTTGACACACAACCTCCCTGTGACCGTCATTCCCCACCCGACAGGCTGGGGTGATTAGATTCCAAGAATAAGCCCCCCGGCCAACCCCAAACCGCACACCGCGGCCGCCAGACCCCAAAATGTCCCGATGATCCCCTGGAGTCCTGGGTGTCCCGCCTCGCGCCCAGCCAACCCCACTCTGCATACCGCGGCCGAAATGTCCCGACGACCCCCGGAAATCCCGGGTGTCCCGCCTCGCGCCCGATCAACCCCACCCTGCATACCGCGGCCGCCAGACCCCGAAATGTCCCGATGATCCCCGGGAGTCCCGGGTGTCCCGTCTCACGCCCAGCCAACCCCCCCTGCGTACCGCGGCCGCCAAGCTTCAAAGCGTTCCGATGATCCCCAAGTCCTGGGTGTCCCGCCTCGCGCCGTCGACGAACACGACAGAACACAACATGATAGAACAGAGCATGACAAAACAGAACACGAGCAGGATATAACATGGCATAACATAACACAGCATTGTCTTGATAACATGAACCATACCATCACATCACATAGCATACCATAACACAACATGGCATGACAGAAGAGGACATACCACGACATAACATAACATAACCAAGCATACCATGACACACCTTGACATACCATACCATATCACGACACATGCTGCCAAAGATCGCACTAGTGTCCATGCCCATACCGTCACTTGTCGGACACCGTGCCCTAAGCCCCGAGAAAAAAACGCCTGTGAGCAACCAGCCAGCAATACGGTCGGAAATAATACAGGACAACATCCTTCAAGGGCATGAAAACCTCCGCCGGCCAAACGGAAGATCATTCGAGAATACCCTCCACCCCAGGATGCACAAGAACATCCAACAAACACGAAGCACATCAGGGTACCCCCTCCGAGCCGACCTCGATCTTATATCTCGATCCGACCGTACCACACATTACCTCGTGCTTGGAACATGATGCCTAAAATCGCCCATCGTCCTTGCCCTCACCGTCACTGGTCGGCCACCGTGCCCGAGGTCCCGAGCGGAAAAAAAAACCGGCGAGCAACACCGGCTTTACTCCACTCGGCCCCCTGAGCCTTCCATGCGGGATATCCGCCGCCGCGCCCTAGCAAGGGTGCCTAACTTCGCGCTCCGCGCTGCGCGAATAACTTCGCGCTCTCGCGCCGCCGCAAAAGGGGAGAAGAAGAGGATGAGGAGGAATCGGAGCCGAACCGGGTCGCGCAAATAACCTTGCGACTTCGAGGGCGCCTTCGCCTAGGAGCTGAGAAGCGCGAGCCAAAAGACGAAGGCATCGGGTGAGGATAAATCGAACATCTCTGAGATGCGGCGGCTCTGCAGAATGTCTTGGGCGCCGCGGCCTTCTCAGAGCATTGCGGAGCGCTCTGAGAGCGTTCCGTAATGCTCTGGAGCGGACTTATCCGGGCCGCACTCAGGCTGCTACAACAGCGACGGCGACGACGACGACGACGCCGCCGCCGCGTCTTGGCGAGACTCTGGGCCGTCGCTTGGGGCGTCCTGTGGGTAGGGGGAGGGGCCTTTGTGCATTCCATCTTTGCGGGTGGGGGAGGCCCAGGGACACACAAATAAATAGGCACAAATCCCAGGATTCCTCATATTTTCCACATGTTCTGGAGTTTCGTCTTTCCCACCACTCCCTGCATTTGCCTGGGAATTTGCGTCTGTGTCTTTCCCCCTCGACATTTGGGGAGGGGAGGGCGCCGAGCCGCTCGCCGCCCTGGCGATGGCCAGGGCGGCTGCTGGCACCATTGTCACCTGGCCGCCGCCGCGGAGGGCACAGACCTCCCCCACGCCCGGTGTCAACCCACGGCGGGCCCCAATCCCTGCCTCGGGAACCCTGCGCCTGCCTCGGCGGGTGCGGGCTGCCCCGGCGGGACCGCGGGCCGTCGCGTGGGGCGTCCCATGGGCAGGGGGAAGAGCCCTCGCGCCTTCCACTCTGGCGGGTGCAGCCTGGCCATGCCCGTGCCCGCACCGCCAACACCAACACCACCTCTCCGCTTTCCTCAGGATACATCCGCCGCGCCTGTCAAGCCGCTGGCCCTCCACCGTCACACGCCGTGCCCGCCAGGTGCCCCTCCTGCTTTCTCGCCCTCCTTGAGGTTCGAGCTTCTGACTCGTCTCGTCCTCTGCCTCCCTTCTCTTGCTGCTGTCTTCCTTTTACTTGACCGAAGGCCCCAGGAGCACATAAACAACTACACACAAATCCCAGGATTCCCCATATGTTCCCAGATCTTTTGGATTCTCGTCTTCCCCCCACTTCCCATGTTTTCCTGGGGATCGACGATTGGTTGTGTCTGTGTGTGTTTTTCCCTCCAGATTGACGTGCTACGGACGTTCCCCCCCCGGCCGGCGACTCCAGGGTCCGCGGGTAACCGCCCCCGGAATTGCCTGGCTCACTAGTTCCGTCGTGCCCCCCAGGGACGACGGGCCCTGGGATTAGGTCGGGCCTGTCCCCCTACAGGGGGATTTCGGACGAGAATAAAAATAGCAACAAACATGTGGAAAACATGCTCCAGACGAGTCAAACAATCGTCCCCGGGGTATCTTTGGACTATTTTGGAATAGTCCTCCTGTAGAGGGACAGGCCCGACTCAACACCAGCTTTGTTGTGCCCCCCAACAACGACGGGCCCTGGGACACTGCAGCCATCAGCGCCTCAGTGCATCCGGAGGGCGACGACGAGGAGAACGAGGAGGCCGAGGACGACGAGGACGAGGAGGGCGACGACGAGGACGAGGAGGGCGGCGACGAGGACGAGGACGAGGAGGAGGACGAAGGCGACGACGAGGACGAGCACGAGGAGGGCGAGGAGGAGAACGAGGAGGACGAGGACGAGGAGGAGGGCGAGGGCGACGACGAGGACCCGGAGGCCGAGCCAGGAGCCGCGGGCTGGCGCCAGGAGGGGCGCCCACGACGGGGCCGCCGCCGCCCGGCGCGACCGCGCGCCGCGTGGCTCCTCCACCACCACCACCACCAGAAGTTGGAGAGGGAGGGGGGATTCTCCTCCTCCTCCTCCTCCTCCTCCTCCCTCCCTCCTCCTCCTCCTCCCCTCCCTCCTCCTCCTCCTCCACCCCCCCTACACACCTGCGCACACCCGCATCTGGACGGGCGGACGTGTGCCTCCACGGCCAGGGAGCCCACAGAGGACGTACGCGCCCAGCTTTGTGCATGATCACGGCCCCCCGATCCGCGAGACCGGCCGCGTGAAAACGAGCACTTGCGCGCTGCGTGCTCTCGAGACCAGCGCGGATTCGTGTGCGTGTACGTCCGTCTCTCGCTCCTCTATTGCTGCATGCCCGCACGTGGGAGCGTGGGCGCAGATGCGCAAAGAAGCAGCCCTGCGGTCCGCTCGCTCGCCATACCGGAAGACGGAGTACAAGGCGAGCAGCTCGTAACAAGTCAACTTCTCGGGCCTCGGCGCCGGCTTCTCCCAGGACTGGGGCACGATCTCCTCCGCGCGTGCGGGTCTGGAGGGTTTGTGGCAAGAGGGCGAAGCAAAACAACTGCCCGTATCGTCTACGACTCCCTCTTGTACTCATACTCGTACTGGTGTTTGCTCTCGCAGTTGTGCCCCCCGCATCAATACCAACAACTGCTCGGACTCGCACTCGCAATCGCACTCGCTCTCGGCTCCGTACTCGAGCCGTGCTCGTGCTCGCGCGCCGACACGCAACCTTGTTCCTCATCAACATCTACTCCGATCAAGCCACATACAAATACGGGCCCCATCCGGGACGTTCCATCATACCCATCAAATCGGGGGCGGCCAAGACGGGGGTGGTCCAAGAGGGGGGGGTGCAAATCATGGCCGGCGGCCGGCGGCATGTGCGCGGCCCAGGGGGGGGCCAGGAACGTAATCAAATCAGAAGAGGCGCCATGAAACCTGGGGAAATATCATGGCCCCCGCCATGATATCCACCCCCCCGTAGTCATCACCCCCCTCTTGTCCGCCCCCGAATCAAACCACATACAAAGACGGCCCCCATCCCGGACGTTCCACCACACCCATCAGAAGCCGAGACCCTCGGCCCAGCTCTCCCGGAGCGTGACGCGGGTCTCCCGAGCTCCCCCGAGCGGTGGCGCGTGCTGTATCGGACCCAGGAGGGCTCCAAGACGGGCCAAGAGGGCCCCGAGAAGCCCCGACGGCGGCCCAATGAGGGCCCCGAGTCGCCGACAGATCGGCATTGGACGCCCAAGATGGTCCCCAGACGGCCAAGGAAGCCTCCAGGGTGCCTTCAGAGGCCTCCAAGCGGCCTCCCAAGAGGGCCCCAAGAGGCAAAAGTCTATGATTTTCCAAAGTTCTAGCGTACTCGACTTCTCGGCTCTCCAACGCTCCATGACGGCCCCAAACACCTCCAAGACAACGGCCCAAGAGGCGTCCAAGAGGCTTCCAAGAGGGCCCCAAGACTCGGGGGCGCGCAAACATGGATTAATGAACCATGGATTTGGCGCGCGGTCGCCGTATCCATGGATCGGGGGAGGTCAAATGCGGCCAATGCCGCTTCGTTCGGCAGCGGGAGTCGCGATTTCCCATGGAAACAGAACCCGTCGCTAATCCACGCCCCCTTGATCCATGTTTGCGATCTCCTGAAAGACGGCCGAAGCCGAAGAGCGCCCCAAGACGGCCCAAGAGGCACCCGAGACAGCCCAGGAAGGACCCGAGGCTGTCCCGTCCGAGCCTTCCGCCCCAAGAGGCCTCAAGAGATGTCCGGGATGCCCCAGAGGATGAGGAGGAGGATGAGGAGGAGAGGCCTCCAAGGAAGGCCCCAAAAGAGGCCCCACAGCAGCCCCCTAGAGGCCTCCTCCAAAGGCCTTCGAGGAGCCTCCCACGGGACCCCAACGAACATCCAATAGGCTGCATACCCAGACCCCAGGCACGGTGGCAGGATGGGCCGAAGGCTATTAGATACCCATCAAAAACAAAGACAACGTCGATGATTTCCTCTCAGCATGGACGTTTTGCCGTCGAAGTTGGAAGTGGGACGGGGTTCACATCGCGCGCGAAAAAGCGATACGTCGCTCTGGCCTCGTCGCAGCGCTACGTTTCCGGAGAATAGAACTCTTGCCCTGGCGTTCGGTCGGGCATGTCCTGCAACAGGCGGAATTGGGACGAAAAGTAACAAATAAGCAAAACACATTCACATATTCAAAAATAGTCAAACCATCGTCCCCAGACTATTCTTGAACTATCTTTTAAATCCCCCCTGTAACTAGAAGGAGATGCCTGACTTAACCCTGGCCCGATGAACATTTTTCGCTCGCCAGTTCGTCGGCGCGCGGGCGGATGAGAATGCCGCTCCCCAAATCGGCGCCCCCCGCGCCAGAGCTCGCATGCTCCCGCCCCGGCGCACCCACATGCTCCGTCGCCGAACTGCTGGGGAGGGGGCCGCGCGCGCGGGCGACCTGTCGCCCTCGCATGAGCTCTGCACAGATCTCGCTCGGAAGCAGCGCTCCTGCGCGGAAGCGGCGCACATGTCGCCCGCCGCATCGCACGAAAGTAGACGTTCGCTGGAACGGCAGGCTTCCCTTACCTCTCGCAGCCTCTCCTCTGCTCCCCCCTTCCGCTGCCGTTTGCCCAAGGCTCGTTGAGAGCCTTGGATCTGTTTTTGGGGTGGGCGGGCGGGGCCGTAGCTCGATGGCCCAGCCTGGGGCCCAGCCGGGCAGTCTGAGGAGCGCTGGGTAGTGACTGGGCCAGGTCCCCCCTCCAGTGCGGGCGGGGGCTCCGGAGGGGAGCCCCGCGGCCCGCGTCGGACGCCTCGGCAGGGCGCCCGCGGCCTGAAGGAGGAAGAGGCAGAGAGGAGGTGCCAGCGGTGCGGCACGTGTCCCTCGAGTGCATCATCTCCACTGCGCTGGTGGCCACGCGCGGGTGGCTAGATGCTTCCCTGTGTGTGGGGCTGTCGGCTGCCTTCTCGGCTTCCGCCAGCTACGCGCCGGGGCATAGCGAGGGCCATGTGCGGGAGGAGCCAGGCGCCGCGAGCGACGCCGGCGCGGAGGAGGCGCACGAGAGTCGCACCGAGTTCGAGGCGCACTTCTGCTACGGTGTGACCTGCGCAGAGAGCGCTGCGGAAGGCCAGCCAGCTGACCCCGTGCTGCCTGCAGGGACGCAGCAGCGGGAGGAGGCGGCGGCGCCGTGGCTTGAGGCGCCCCCGACCACGAGCCCGCCGCCAGCCATGGCCGGTTCGGGTGGGCGCGCCACCAGCTACGGGGAGTACTACTACCTCGCGTGATACTACGAGGACGGGGTGGCGCCGAGCCCGCCCCCGGCGGAGCAGCCCGTGGTGCCAGCAGTGCCCAGATCGCTGCCAGAGGAGAGGGCGACGCCGAGGGAGTCGGGGCGACCTCAGGGGAGCGAGCAGCAACCGCCCGCACCGCGGCGGCGCCTCGGTCGGCTGGCAACGCCACCCGTGCACAGCATGCGTCGGCACCACCGCCGCCGCCAGAGGAGCCGCCAGCCGGAGGAGGCGAGGGCGTGGCCGCTGAGGATGCGCCCCCCCCACCCCCAGACCGCCCCTCCGACGCCGTCCCAGGAATGGTCAACGCCGAGCCAGGCGGGCTCGCCGTCTCCAACGCATGGTTCGAGGCAGCGCTCAAGTGGCTAGGCGAGAAGGTTGGCCACGCGCTGGGTGCTATGCTTCACCAGGTGATCGCTTTCCTCATGGGCATGGTGAACGCTATGGGTGAATACATTTGTGGCCGCTACTGGGCGCGGCTCCAATGGCTCGCCCTGAGCGTGGCTGCAGCGGGAGTGATCGCCCTCCTCGGCTCCATGATCAGCCTCGTTTCTTGGGTCTTGCGCACGGCTCGGACGTACTGCGCGTTCGTCTTCACGACTACGCATGGCTTCGTCAAAGGCAGCAAGACGGGCCACGACGTGCAGGTCGCCTTGGACAGCAAGCCAGGTGCAACCTTGACCTGGCGCGGTCCCGATGAGGCCAAAGCCGTTGACGCAGACTACGTCAAGGGTGAGGTGAGGGCGCGAGGAGGCAGCTCGAAGAACATGATGCCCAACGACCTCATCATACCATCAAATCGGGCGGGTCGGTTGCGCAGCTGGAGCAGGGGCCAATCAAGGGCAGCCGCATCACCCGCCATGGTTACGTCCACTGCTTCATGGAGGTCGAGGGCAGCTCGCACCGGCACCTCAAGACCGACCTGGAGGCTACACGAGATGACGACGGGATCGGCCTGGTGCACTTGTGCTCTGCGACACCATGCACCTTGCCACCAGGCGACAGGCCCATGGTCCACGTGGGTGCGTGCGTCGTGCGTCGTCGGCCACGCCTCCGCGATCAACGTGTCGGACCTGGCCAAGCTCGCGCCTGCAGGGCGAGCCAGGACGGGGAGCAGAGCATGCTGCTCCTGAACGTGCCGCCGGGGACTGTCGGGGCTCGCTAGAAAGGCGTGCGGGTGCTGTGCGTCCCGGAGGTGGAGGCGCCCACCTCCGGGCAGCGGCTCGGCCAAGGCGGTAGTGATGGACCCCAACTCGGAGACCGAGTCGCAGCCGAGCGAGGGCGTGTGCGAGGCGGACAGTCGAATTCCGGACTACCGGACGCGCGCAGGTGCTGTGTGTCAAGGGTTGTCGGGACTCGGCGAGAAGCCCGTGCTGATGCTGGTTCCAGGAGATTTCGCAATGTGGGCTCCCGGCCCCTTAAAGACTCCTCAGGCTGAGGCTCAAGGGATTGGGCAAAGGACCTGAGGACACACCCACTCCGTGCCAAGCGGAACGGTGGCGGATGATGGGAATGATGAGAATAATGACACTCGTTGGAACGCGAACCATAAGAGAACCAAGGGAGGAGGATGGACAAGGGTGAAACGAGGGAGGATCTGAGGAAGGAAGAAGGAGGGACGATGAGTCTGGATAAAGAGGAGAGGAGGAAGGACATATTATTGAGGAATTGGAGGAGATAAGGAGGACGAGAACGGAGGAGAAGAGATCATGGGGATGGCGGGTGAGGGTTGAACAAGTACCGAACTCCCATGAGCTTAAACAGACCTAAACTCATCTTAAGGGAAGAAGCAGTCATCGGCGAAGTGCTGGCAGGCGGGCAGGGAAGGGAGGAGCGCAGTGACCAAGCAGAAGGCCTGGTGACTGTAAACGAGGACGAGCTGAGGAAAGGTGGGGGAGGGAAGCATTGGAGCAGGGGAGGCGGGATGGAGGGCATCTGGGATCGCGGAGGGAGGGCAAAGGAGAAAGGGAAGGGAGGATGGAAGGAGGGATGGACGGACGGAAGGGACAGACATCGTCAAGATTGACCCTGGGGCGCACTGGCCTGCACTTGGGCCATCTTGAACAGCCTCGTCTTGAGCCACGTCTCGCCTTTCCCCGCGTCCGGGCGCAAGTGCAGAGAAGGGGCGCTTGCGGCGAAGGTAACGCTCAGCGGAAAGTGACTATTTCCCGCTGCTCTGTCCACGGCGACGGACACGTGAACAGTGAACCCTACCAACCTTGTGGGCATAGGCGATTTGGCGAGTTTGTTCTTCGTCCCTAATCCTTCTCTTCTTACGGGGGGATTATCATTGCTCCGTACTGATTCCAAATCGGGGTCGGCCAAGAGGGGGGCGTCCAAGAGGGGCGGGCGCAAATCTTAGCGGGCGGCATGTGCGCGGCCCAGACGGGGCGCCAGGGACGCAGTGAAATAAGACGTGGCGCCATGAAATTTGGGAAGATATCATGCCCCCCGCCATGGTATCCAGCCACCCCTGGTCATCACCCCCCTTTTGGCCGCCCCCGACTGAATCGCCACCACGCCTTCAGCACGGAATGGAGAGCTCGAAGGCTCACGCAGCCCTGAGATGTAGAGGGTCTGTAAGGTTCTGAAGGACACAAACCCTCAGTGTCCCGGGCACTCCCCGGCGCCGTTTCTCGCGTGGGTCTCCGGGACGGTCAACCCCGCCCACGAGGGCCCCGAACGACTTTTCGATAGGCCCAAAGCGCATGGTTCGGGGCATGCACGGTCCTCCTCCTTCTCCTCCCCCTCCCCCTCCTCCTCCCTTTTCCCTCTCTTCCTTACTCATACACTCACACGCCCACACACCCACGCACTCCTCCTCCTCCTCCTCCTCCTCTCCTCCTCCTCCTCTCTCCTCCTCCTCCTCCTCCCTCATCCTCATCAATCTTCTCCTCCCCCTCATCCTCATCTTCATTCTCATCATCATCGTCGTCATCATCATCATCAGCATCATAATCATCAACATCATCATCATCATCATCATCATCATCATCATCATCATCATCCCATTTGTATCCTCATCATCATCAGCATCATCATCATCATCATCATGTTCACCGTCATCATCATCAGCATCATCATCAGCATTATCATCATCATCAGCAGCAACATCATCATCATCATTCTCGTCATCATTATAATCATAAGCATCATCATCGTCATCATCGTAATCATCAGCAACAACATCACCATCATACTCCTGATCATGACCATCATCATCATCATCATCAGCATCATCATCGTCGTCGTCATCATCATCATCATCATCATCATCATCATCATCATCGTCATCGTCATCATCATCATCATCATCATCATCATCATCACCATCACCATCACCATCACCATCACCATCATCATCATCATCATCATCATCATCATCATCATCTGATTCATCTGATTCATCATCATCAGCGGCAGCAACATCATCATAATCGGCATCGGCATGAGCATCATCATCATCAGCATCAGTATCATCACCATGACCATCATCACCATCGTCACCAACATCAGCATCACCAGAAGCAGCACCATCATCATCATCATCACCAGCATCAGCAACAGCGTCATCATCATCATCAGCAGCATCATCATCAGCATCATCATCATCATCATTACCAGCATCACCACCAACACACCATCACCACCATCACCACCATCATCATCATCATCATCGTCATCATCATCATCATCATCATCATCATCAGCATCAGCATCAGCATCAGCATCAGCATCAGCATCAGCATCAGCATCAGCATCAGCAGCATCAGCATCAGCATCAGCATCAGCATCAGCATCAGCATCAGCATCAGCATCAGCATCAGCATCAGCATCATCATCATCATCATCATCATCATCATCATCATCATCATCATCATCATCATCATCATCATCGTCATCATCATCATCATCATCGTCATCATCATCATCATCATCATCATCAACATCATCAACATCATCACAAATCATCATCACCACTCGTCATCAGTACACACTATCGCACACTCACGTGTCTACCATGGGAGAGGCATCGAGCAGGAGCCCTCTCCCGATGGGGCCGCACTTCGTGTTCGCACCCGAACGGGTCATCGACAAACTCTATCAAGCACAGCACTTGAACACCCGAAGGGGGCGCCAGTTTCCAGCCAGGGCTTCGTTGTGAGTGAATTGCGGGGAAGTCTCAGACGGGCCCCCCCTCATTATGTGGCCCGCACTCCTTTTCGAATCCGAGCGGGTCATCGTGGCCCCCACTCATTATGGCCCCACACCCCTCCTCTACCAGGAAAACCATTTGAGCACCCCAAGGGGCAAATCGTGAGGTCTCCAGCGGGGGGTTCGTCAGTGAGTGAATTGTGGGGGCATCTCCAGCGAGAGCCGCCTCCCAATGGGGCCCGCACGTCATGTTCGAGTCCGAGCGGGTCATCGGCAAACTCTACCAGGCATGACGTTGAGCACCCTCCGGGGGGCAAATCGTGAGGATGTCGCCAGCGGGGGCGTTGTCTGTGGGTGAATTGCGAGGGAGTCGCGAGCGGGAGCCTCCTCCCTATGGGGCCCGCACTTCATGTTCGAATCCGAACGGGTCATCGGTAAACCAAACCCTACCAACTAGCACACTTGAGCACCCCAAGGAAGCAAATAGTGAGGATGTCTCCAGCCGCGGTCGTCTGTGAGTGAATTGCGAGGAAATCTCAGGCGGGAACCCCCTCCCAATGTGGACCGCACTTCATGTTCGAACCCGAGCGGGCCATCGGCAAACTCTACCAGGCAAAACACTTGAGCATCCCAAGGGAGCAACTCGTGAGGATGTCTCCAACCCTGTTCGTCTGTGAGTGAAATGCGAGGAGGTCTCAGGCGGGAGCCCCCTCCCACCGGGGACAGCACTCCATGTTCGAATCCGAACGGGCCATCGGCAAACTCTACCAGGCCAAACATTTGAACACCCTAAAGCAAATCGTGAGGATCTCTCCAGCGGTGGTTTCGTCTATGAGCGAGTTACTAGGAAGTCTCAGGCGGGAGTCCCCTCCCCATGGGGCCCACACTTCATGTTCGAGTCCGAGCGGGTCATCGGCAACCTCCTCCTCCTCCTCCTCCTCCTCCTCCTCCTCTCCTCCTCTCCTCCTCCTTCTGCTGCTCCTCGTCCTCCTCCTGATCTCCCCCGCCATCCTCCCCCAAGTGTTCCCCGAAGGGTTTCCACAACGGTCGGGGGACCACATGGTCCGATAGCTTGGCAGAACTCTTACAACAACGCTCGGACACGTGGGCGCTGTCAAGCATATTGCTCCCCCACGCGTTCCCCGAAGGCTGCCCAAACCGACTCGGGGAACAACTGGCCTGATAGCTTGGCCAAGCTCTCGCCCAGCTGTCGGCCACATAGGCGCTTCCACAAGGGCAGGGGGCGGCGGTGATTCGCTGTAGGCGTCTTCGATCCGCCGCCCCCTGTTGATTTGTCACAGGGTTGCCTGGCGTGAGAGATTTCTTGGTTTCAATGCCCCCCCTGGGGTTTCGGCTCATTGCGCTGGCCACCCGACAAGCTCTGGGCGGGGGGTGCCTGGCAAGCTCTGGCGGGATGTCTGGCTTCAAGATGCCACAAGATGACCTCCAAGACGGCCAAGGTGGCCTCCAAGTTTTCTCAAGATGGTCCAAAATGGCTTCCTAGACGGCCCCAAGAGGGTCCAAGATGACTCCAAGTCCGCCCAAGACGCCTCCAAGACGGCCCAAGAGGCCCCCAAGAGGTGTCCAAGACGGCTCAAGAGGTCTCCAAGAGGTCCTTCAGAAGGGCTCGACGAGGCCAATAATATCAATTCCCCTTGGTTTTGAAGTATGTGTGGCATTTGCTTCTTTTCAACCTTCCGACGGCTCAAGACGGCCCCCAAGATCGCCCCGAGATGGCCCAAAAAGGCCTCCAAGATGACCCCTATGACGGCCCAATAACCCTACAAGACGGCCCCAAGAGGGCCGCAAGACGACTTACGAGGTCTCCAAGACGCCCGAGATGGCCTCCGAGACGGCCCTGAAGCACCCCAAGAGGGCCCCAAGCCCGTTTTGAGAGGCATCCAAGACTGCTTCCGATGGCGTCAGACGGGCCAGGAATGCCCTAAGCGACCCCGCACAAGCCCCCGAAGGCTCACAAGAGGCCCGAGGAGGCCTTCAAGGGGCCCCCCGGAAGCTCCCAGGAGACCCCAAGAGTGCCTCCTCCTCCTCCTCCTCCTCCTCCTCCTCCTACTCCTCATTCTCTTCCTAATCCTACTCCTGTTTCCTTCTTCTCCTCATTCTCCTCTTCCTCACGTGTTCCCCGAAAAGGTTTCAACGGCAGCTGGGGGAACACATGTTCCGATAGCTCTAGCCGAACTTTCGGCCGCGTAGGCGCTTCCAAAAAGATGGGGGACGGCGGTGTTCCGCCGTAGGCGTCTTCGATCCGCCGCACCCTGTTGATGTATCACAGGTGTGCGCAACGTGCCGAATTGCTGGTTGTTCTTGGTTATCTGTGGTTCGTTTCAAGACTCCTCACTGGGCCTCGGCCCAAGCCGCCGGCCACCCGGAGAGCTCACCGAATCCACCCCTCGTTGGTCAAATCGCTTTCAGGACGGCCAAGATGAACAAATCTGGCCTCCAAGATGTCTCCAAGTCGCCTCTAAAGTGGCCACTTTTACCAGAGACGAAAGTACCACTACCACCAGCTAGGGGGGTGGCTGTCCCACCCTCTCGAGCTGGTGGCATCTCGTTACAGGCATGCCTCCAGAGAGTTCCCGGAAGGAGGTGCCACCAGCTTGAGGGGAGGGAGCGGCCACACCCCTGGCTGGTGGTAGTGGTACTTTTATCTGTCCTGACACATGTGAAAAGCCACGAGGGCCCAACACGGCTCAAGATGCACCCCAGACGGCCCAAGATGGCTTCGGGGTGGCACCAGACGGCCCCCGAGGCCCGAAAAGGGGCCTCCAAGACGGCCAGAGAGGCCCCCAATGGGGTCCTCCAGGATGGCCCGAAGAGGCCCAAATCACTGATTTGCCTGGTGTGTTTCGAAGATCTTGGCATTTGCTTCTTTTCGAATGCCCAAGACGGCCCAAGAGGCCTCGAATATCGCCTCCAC